CTACTACAAATGTTTCTCCAGGAGTTCATAAAAAGTATGAATTACCATTGTTTAAAAAAATCTGAAAAATGAACAGCTTATTATGTAGAACATACACTGGCAGTCTGGGCTTTGCAACTTCCAAAGAAAGTTCTTTGATGAAAAACATGTATTTAATTTTCACCAGTGAACTTGTGGAACTCATAGTCACAAGGAGGTAGGATCTTGCTTTTTTCTGGGTGCACAGCTGTGAGTCCACTTGTCTCTTTTCCTCCCGAAGTATAGCGTTTGAGTTAGACCAAGAAAAAGAGTAGCAGAAAGCAGTAGCATGTTTTTCTTTACTGGAAGCAGTTTTGAAACCATAAAGAATTTATCCTGGCACTAAAGAAGTCACTGTTTTCTGTCAGTCCTCTGCTAGTTGACCAGAATGAATGCCAGTTCTGGGGTATCCTAGTGTGAACGCGAGTGCTATTTCGGTCTGTCACAAAGAACTGTGGAACGTAGATTTTGGACAATTTCATCACATCCACCAGCAACCACAAAACAAATGTTATTTCAGAATGAGGACCACGAATGTAGAAATACTAAAGACTAAATCAAAAGAAGATTATAGAGAGGTTTTATAGTTTAATGAGTATCCTCACTAGCAAAGCTTTTCTCTCCCCCTTCATCTCTTCCTCCTCTCTCTCCTTTTTTTTTTTAGATAAACTAAATGCTATGTACAGTGTTGTATATAAAGTTTGATGAAGGTCAGGTGGAGAGGAGAGACTGAAGAATTCTACTGCTTTCTCTATGCAAAACATGGAGGGAGGGAGAGAACAGACAGTTCACTGTGAGTAACACCCAGCAACTTTTCTTAGAACAAAATAAGGACCTTATTTACTGGGAAGAGTAAGGTCACCTAGAGAATTCCATGATTTCAAAGTCATTAAAATTTCTTCATGAGAGCTTAATAAAGGTTTCACTCTTCTGTGGAGAATGTGGGCATTTTAAAGGAAATAATTAAAATGCTTTTAACTGTGACAATGTAGTGGGGGTGAGGGGCTTTGCAGTGACACACATAGCCAACTCTGACCCAGGACATCCTGTGTGCCTAACACCTAATCTTCAGTCTTTTTCTGGACTTGAAGTACAAAATTATAGTCAAAATTTTCTAGCTTTCCATTCAGGAAATGAAATGCTTGTGAGATTCTTTGATTTACACTAGACATAAAACTTTACTTCCATTTCACAGAATCATTACTCTTAATGAACTCATGACTTTTCTTTAATTCAACAAATAGGAATACAAATAGGGCTGGCGAGATGGCTCAGTGGTCTAAAGCACCTACTTAGAACAAGCTTGGCAAAGCACAGGGACCACGGTTCGATCCCCTAGCACCACATGCCAGCCAGCCCCACCCCCTGGTGGGCTGAGCTGGCCACACACACACAAAATTAATAATTTTTTTTTTAAAAAGGAATACAGTAGTGACAAAGAGCACTGGATGGACTTACTTCAGTGATGACCTACACCTTATCTATTAACCTATTGCCTGAAATTCCATGATCAGAGATTCATTCCTTCAGGTTAAATGCTATTTTTCTTCTCTTAATTTGAGCTATATCTGAGAGAGGAAACATCAATCCCTTGAGAGATTAACTAGCTTAATCCTTTAAAAAAACAGAAAGTCTAAAAGAAATAATTGGTGAGGATGTGAAGCAACAGGAGCCCCTAATTTGATTGATATGGCCACCTTTTAATATAATTTGGGAAATTCTACTTCTGGACAAGATGACTAATGCAAACTAAAATTAGAATTAGAATTCTCAAAGTAGAAAGAGGTAGGCAATACATATTTATCGACTTAAAATTTCTGAACTTAGTTGAACTTATAACATGACATTTCCAAGAAAAATGAGCCTTTTGGACAAGAAATTTGAATAAAATCATACCCAGATACATAAAAATGAAATTGTCCAAAACTTATTGTAAAGAAAAAAATCATTAAAGTATATGCATAAAAAATTAGCTATGGAAGAACAAAATTAAGTAGCATCTTATTCTATATTAAAAAGAAACAACAACAAAAACTAAAATTATCTACCTGAGATATATTTTAAAAATCTGATAAGTTGATGTAATCATATTTTTCAGGATGTGGAGGGCCAGGCCATGAAGGACCATGATCCTGAGAGATCAGAAAAACTGAACATAAGTGCATGGTCAGTTTTTCAACTCTGGGACCAAATATTCAACCTGCACCGCTTAGAAGAGTAAGGGCTGAGGCTTGCTCACAGTTTCAGAGGGTTCAGTCTAAGGCAAGAGTGCCACGGTGGAAGGGCTGGAGAAGCACGCAGCTTACTTCCTGGTGGCCAGGAAGCAGAACACATGGTGGTGGGATGTCCTCCGAAAGCCTCCAGGGCCCACCTCCAGCTGGGTCCCACCTCCTAACAGCACATTTATCTGTGAGCATCAGTGGATTGATCAACAGATGCCTGTAGTGCCCTATGGTCTATTCACCTCTGTAGGTGTCTCTTAGTCCTACAAAGTTGACAACTAATATCAACTGTAAGCACACCTAATGTTTGTCCCAGACAAAGTGCCTTGAGAGAGGTTGTAAGAGGTAGCCCTAGGGGTGTATTGGGACATATGTTTTGCTTTCTTATGATTCTTATAAATCTAAGTAAATTGGTATTTTAATTGTGACTAATGTTATGATACTTCAATACACTTTATTCCATTTTGAACTTCCTTTTGTACCTCAAGTATGACTTTGGTAATAGGCTGACTGAGAGTCACACTAACTATGTGTCAATATGCAAATGAGACAGTCGGTGACTAGGATTTCTCCCTCCAAAATTTTCATCTGGAAGATGAACTAGTGTGCCATAAGATTAAAACTGTCACCAGGTACTAAACAACTGGATCACCATTGCTGGTACATGTGGCACAAGTGGGGCCTACAAAGAGCTCTCTGTGCTGAGAAGAGTTGGCAGTCTGGGGAGGCTCAAATTCAGAGGGCAGATATCTAGAGAGACAACAACAGTCACCGTATATGAGATTCTCTGTCCTCCTAGCAGAGTACTGGTCATACTTCTTGTGCACAAGGAAACTGCTAATATCTGACTGGGGAAGAATATCTGAAAGGATTCAAAGGAATAATAATTATACCACACCAGGCAAGGGGTGGTGCCTGTTACTATAAGCCAGATTGGAAAACGTGATTGTGAGTAAGTTGTTCAAAAGGTTCTTACCTCTATCGTGTGAAATAATGTATTTATTATCTATAGAATACATGTTGCTCTAGTCCCGCTAACAAACTTTTAGCAAGACCTACTGACAGGATAGGACCTCTCTTGTGCTAAAGTATTTGAGGACATGTTTTCAAAGCACTGCAACTCCATCAAGGACAATACCGTCAGGGGAGGTAGAATTTAATGTGATATATGATTCATCTAATTAAATGCCAAAACTCAATAGTGATTTCCTATAGATTCTAAAATTTTCTTACTGTACTCAGTTGGGGGATGGGAATGATTTTTATTTTTTTAGGTAGCTAAAGAGACAGCTACACATATTACAGACCTCCACACTGCTAAGGAAGAATCTTCGTTTCCATGTTAGTTTTGTGGATCCAGCATGGTTTTTGTTTTGTTTTGTTTAGCAGTTGCGAGGCTGCAGATGTGTTAGGACACAGTTCATTGACCTTCATAACACTATTAGCTTACAATGATCTAAGTTACCATGCTAGGCCTTAGAGATTTAAAGAATTAAAATCAGGCTGTGCTGTCAGGAATGCAGAAGTTCTTTGTCCAACTAGAGCAAGTTTCCAGTTGTTTTTAAGTGTGCCTGGGGCTTTGGTGTTTTTAAGCATGATGGGGACAATGGATCAAGGGACAGTTGCCACTGAAAAGACAGTTTGCTACTTAAAGTTCCCCAAGAGATGAGGCGTACCACAGGACACAGGACCACAGAGGAAGCACCAGGGTTGGTCCTAGAAAAACAAATCATGCCCAAAACCTTTAGGGTATCCTTTGTGAAAAGGAATAGGACATCCAGATAAACAATGAAGGGAATATAGGATTGCTTAGCTTGCAGCCACGGTCTGCAGGCTCTAGAATATAGGGGTAGCCGCTAGCTGTCTGATACCTGGCCCTGGGATGATTAAGCAAGAGAATATTGCCTCTTTCAGTGTGAGAGTTGGCAAAAGAGAGAGTAGAGGTATGAACTCTGGTGGTTTGGTTTGTACATCAAAAGCAGGCTCCAAGGCACAGGTTACTATCAGTAGAAATTAGCTAGCCCTGGGAAGGAAGGTCAGATTTTTCCAGGTCAGTGAAATTGCAGGTCTGCAAAACATGAAAAATATAGGCAATTTAAAGATATAGCTTAAAATAGTGCAGCATGAGCCTCAGTGTGGTCCTGTGTGGATTCAGGCCTACTTGGGCACATTAGGTAGATTGGGAATCCAGCATTCCATCTCTGGACTGCATTTAAATGTAAGAATAAAAGAAAATGGCCCAAATCAAGATGTTGCTGCAAGAACTTCTTAGAGTCGAAGAAACTTTTGGAGCATTAGGTTTTAAGGAATATGGGGGCAGAGGGCAACATTTACCCAAGAGGAAGAGGTGTGCAAGCCTGGGCAGGTATGGCTAGTCCATGGCTGTTCCCCTGTTCTTCCATCCAAAGTGGAATAGCCCAGAAGCCTGAGCACTTACCTGATTCTCAAATCAGTGTCATGCACTCTGCTCTGAAATATATGAAGAGAGCATTGTTCTAAGGCTAATTGCAAGGAAATCAAATCCGAAGCCAGGCATGGCAGTATAGGACTTTAATCCCAGAATTCTGGGAGGCTGGGGCAGGAATGATAAATTCAAGCCCAGCCAGGTCAACATAGTTACCTAATGAGACCCTATTTTAAAAAATACTTACCTGGTAGAGGAGCGATCACAATCATTAGTTGGTATTGCTTTTTTTTTTTTTTGTCCCAGGGATAGCACTCAGGACCTTGCACTTGCAGGCAGGTGCTTAAGCCACTGAGCTATCTCCCCAGCCCCGAGATCAGGAGCATGAGGGTGGTTTTCCCAGGGCGAGGCTCATTCATTGCTCTCTGCTTGTGCTGACTGCTGGGACTTCCCCAAATGTGGGAAACTCGGTTACATAATTTGTGATATTGGGGGACTGTGTTCCTGCTGTCCCCTCTTTAAAAAAAAAAATTAAAAATCTGTAATGTAGCTGTGTGTGAAGTTCCTTGGCTCAATCCCCAGTACTGTCACCCCCAGCCCAATCAAATAGCCACTTTATCATCTAGATGAACACATTGTAAGAAAACACTGCTATATAATTTCAGTGCTTGCATTTATAATTTTGTTTTCCACTCATATTTTCATCACCAGAGGACAATAACATGGCACACTCATTGAATAAAGTTTTTGCTGGGGGAAAAAACAGGAAGAGGAGGTGGGAAATTGAGCTTGCCCATGTTCACAGTGATGAGGGCCTGCAGCTCCAGCGCTGGGCTGCGAGTGTTCCATCCAGGAAGGTAGTGAGTGGCTGTGCATCCCACGCCCTCTCTTTGTTCATATCACCTTGCAGTAAGTAAAGAGGAAATGCACAATGGCAATTGTACTATTTCTGAGTCACACCATTGTAAGCTGTGCTACATTCCCATGCAATACAAGTTTCAAAAATTCCCTAAGTATCACCTCACTTTTGAATCCACAGGCAGCTTTGTACGGTTATAGGGTGGGTGGGATTATCCACATTGGGAGTTGAGGTTTGCTCACAGGGAGAACTTTTTTCATTAATTTTTAGGCCTGCTTATTCTAAATTAGGAAACAAAGCCTTGGAATTTGGTAACTGTTGATAGTGTGCTTCACCTAATAGATACTCATGGCTGCGTAGCTCTCTAAGGTCAAAATTCTGGAAGGAGATTAAAAGGTGGAGGAAGCAAGAGGAGAAAGGGGCAGAGGGGATGAGAAAAGGAATTAGGATTGTTATGTGCTTACTTCAGTGTGAACGGTATGGATTACACTTGTACCAACAAATCAAATAAACTTTAAAAATTCTGGAACAGAATTAAATGTAGGACTGGATCTGAACCAGTGATTTTTTACTCTTGAACATCATTTCAGTCATTGAATTTTACCAAACATAAAAGTGACATTAAATTGTTATTTATATTGTTCATTAGAGTGCTTTTATAATTATGTACATATTAATTTTTATGATTTGGTAAGAACTGTAAGGAGAACGACTTTTAACCTAGATTCATATTTTTATATATTTAAATAATACTTTTCATAAAACGTAACACCCAGAGTTCAAAGAAATTTTCTTTTTTATAAAAAAAATCTTTTTTGGGGGGGCCACTATGAACAGTGTAAATTATTTCAACACAACTGAGCTTGAACCTGTGATTAAATGCCCTTTAAAGTGCCAGCCTCTTTCACTTTCAAATGACATGCCTTCCTCCCTCTAGGCACCCCCGGAGGCATACTGACTCATCTCTGTCATTTCCCTCTTTACCCTTCCTGACAACAAGCTTTTCTAGATCACTGATTGTCAGATCTACCTGACCGCTCCCGAGTGCTGGCCAATGTCCGGATGTCCAAGGCACAGTTAAGGTGAAGGCCTGGATGAAGCTTGACTGAAAGTGCAAGGGCAGTCCAATAATGGTGAAGAATAGCGTGGTGAACACTGAGATGTGGCATTTGGAGCTCCCTTCTTGCTCCCACTTCAGCTCCCTGCCTTGGCCCCAGAAGCTTGGCCTTTCCTCTCCAACCATCTACAGGTCTAGTTTCCTGGTGCCCTGTGTCTTCCTAGCACAGAATGACCCACAGTGGAGATGTCCATTGCGTTCAAGGGAAACTCCCATCGCTACCAGGACAATGATCTCAGTCCTCCAAATGCTGTGACATCCAAACTTTGTGTGTTATCTCAGCCAAACAGATTCTTAAGATGTCCATATTAAGGTACATGGAAGTTTCTCTAATTCTGTAAGGATATGGTCATACTAAAAAATACATTCCATTTATATTACAAAACAGAACTTAGTAAGATCAGTTGCAGCATCTACATCCGGATTTATGATAACTTCACTTCTCTCCAAGACAAATAAGAGCACATGTTTTATATTTATGTAACCAGAGAGCCCTTTCTGGCTCTTTTTCCCCAAATATAGAAATTCTGTTACAGAAGTGAATTGCCGTCACATGTAAAAATTGCTAAATAATAGCAACAATAATGTGAAAAACAAAGTTAAAAAAAAAAACAAAGGAAACAAAAAAGAATCAGATATTCAAGACCCATTTGTATTTTATGAAAGGCAACATATACTTGTCACACAGGGTTATTATGAGGGTTTATGGGTAAAACTACTTAACATGTTATCCAGCAAGTAACTAGTACTCAGTGAACATAAATAGTGCTGGTGACAGTCTAGTGACTATGAAGATGGTGGTGGTTGTGGTGGTGGTGGCTGGCCTTGGAGTATTGTGCAAGAAGTAAAACAACAATAAGAAGAAGCCAGGGGCTGGAGAGATGGCTCAGTGGTCTAAAGCACCTACTTGGAACATGCTTGGCAAGGCATCAGGGACCGCGGTTCAATCCCCCAGCACCACATGCCAGCCAGCCCCGCCCCCTGGTGGGCTGAGCTGGCCACACACACA